GTCTTACATAGAATCAACCCCCCCCGGCTGAGTGCACGGGAGGCTCATTGGTTAATGGCAGAAACGGGCCTGAATAATGTCTTTAGGTGTCAGCGGATGGAAATAAGATGAGGCTATAGGTGTGTCATTACCGGAGAATAATCCCAACTCTGCTCCCTTCAACCTCTCATCTCATTTTTTTTTGTTTTGTTTCATCTTATCCCCCTGCTTCCTTCTTCTCTCCTCCTCTCCATCCCTTTCTTCTTCTTCTTCTCTTCTGTCTGTGGGAGTGAGTGATGAGGGAGGGAAGCGGTCCATCCGTCACTGTTGATGTCGCTAGCGACTGTGTGTGTGTGTGTGTGTGTGTGTGTGTGTGTGTCTATATGCATGTCATCTGGCGCCGGGTGGCCTCCCACTGATGTAAGAGGGATCCGTCATGTCTCTCTGTCACAACAGCAGACACGCATGAGTGGACGCACACACACACACAACTAAACACACATACAATCCTCTGGTCTATCTGTAACAGTTTACCCTTGATCTGATTAGTAGTCTTTTATATTCCTGCACTAAAAACTTGTGTAAAAGTGTCCTCACCAAATGGAAGTTATTAGATTTAGTGAAATCAGAAGTCGCCCCGGAGTCGTGCGAGTCAGTCGTATGCGTTATTGTTCTGTTGTTGTCCCTCTCCTGCATCCGGAGGCGTGTGATGATACGACATGATGGGACTGTTTCCGCTTAAAGTCTTCCTCAAATGTGGCACATAAAAAATGCAGAAAGAAGCCTCGTGTTGGATTTGTGGTTGTTCTCCGAATCGAGGGCTTTTTAGCGTGCTAAAAGAGGTCCTTTGGGAAGAGCTGAGTGTTATGGAGTGGCAAGTAGACACCAGTTAATTTTGGAGCATAAAGAGCAGCGGCGGCGGCGGAGGTTGTGGTGGTGACAGGAAGCTCCAGGACCGTGTTTGGAGCAGCCCCTGCTGAGCACAAAAGGAACTGCAGCCGGAGTCTGGTTTGTCTTCCAGATGAGGGGAAATGAGGGTTTATTGGACTCAGGTGAGGGATAGTTTTCACAGTTTTTATTAGGCGGGAGTCTGCAGCTCGTTTGGTGTTCTGGGTGACGAGGCAGGAGGAGGAGGAGGAGGAGGAGGAGGTCGGGCCTTTCCTCAGGTTTTGATGAAGAGGTAATGATCAGTCAGAAATCAGCCTGATTCAGAGTAAAGTGTTGCAGACAGATGTGCGTCCGTCCCCTGTGTGTCTGCTGTGTGAATAATGCACCTCTATAAATGGCTGTTTAATAGTGTGTTATCCTATAAAGCGGCATCGCTGATGGCACCCTGATTGTGTGTTTGACACTATGAAGCTGGCTCCCAGCCAACACTTTAATCTAATTAAACACAACTGTAACATGGACCACTGAAACATTCTATACAGTAGCAGCTAGTTTATTTTAAAATCATCTACAGATGTCGGATTTCAAAACGCATGATGGTGAAATGTTTTGGAAATGTTTAAACCATTCATCTGACATTGCAGAAAAGTGGATCAAATTAACTCACTGTACGCTCTCCAGAGGTGAGTGTGCAATCATGCATGCAAGTGTTTCTGTTTTCCTGCGAGGGGGATCCAGCACTAAGAGTTACACAGAAACTGAATGAAAAATTAAAGGTGTATTTTAAAAAATGAAGGTTAGAAATTCGGTGAAAACAGCGCTGATTATGTGTTATTATGTTCACCGACTGCAGGTCTGTGAGATTTAAACATAGCTTCAACGGTGACTAAAGGGCTTTGTGTTGGTTTTCTGTGCAGAGTGTAGACATTTAGATAAGATGACAGGCTGCCCTTAAACATCAGTCTAAAGCATCAGGAGTTTGAGTGGACTTGACATCTTGATGGAGTTGAAATGTGGTTAAGAAGACACCGGCGTGCAGCTTAATGGGCTGGATTAGAGGCTTCATATGTGCTCACAGCCACACAGTAAAGGGTTATGTTAATGTGGAGCTACTTCAGTGATGAAAAAAAAGGAAGAAATAGTGGTTAAAAATTTTAATTCAGGAAAAAAAATGCATATATTAGATTTTGCTTGTCAACAGATCTGCAAGCATCTAGAATATTTACCTTTTTGATTTTTTTTTTTACGACTAGTACCTTTTTTCCCCTTCTCCTGAATGATAGGTTTAGATTTTTTGTTTTCTCCATTATGATTTAGAGAAACTTCAACGGGGGGAATTTCAGGATAATCAGAAATTCTTTAAAAGATAAGAACATCCACACTGGACTAGTCCGTTTTCAGTTATATAAGTCCTAAAAAAATTAATTGAAATAATAACATTAAGTAAGGATGAGAAGTAATGAGAACCAAAAAGACTCAATTACAAGTCAAAGCCCAGCAGTCATAATTTTCGAAATATCAAGCGCAGAAGTACTTATTATACATTTTGTGGAGTGGAAGCGAGATTAAGGCCTGCATTTAAAATCTAAATGTAATATATTACAATAAGTCACAGTGCACATTCTTAAAAACTGCTCCCTGGTTGTTATTATATCGGCTACTGCGTGCTTAAGTAGCATTTTAGCTGTTCCAAGGAGAAACTGTTTTCATTACACACAATCAGTTTGCCAAGTGGTTCCCAACTTAGGGGTTGGGTCCCTCCAGAGGGACACCGAATACATTTCAGGGGTCATAAGGTGATGAGTGACCCACTAAAGACGCAAGTTGTGTTACATAAAACTTAGAGATGAGGTTATCAATAGATGAATTGACTGTGGTACTTGACTTAAATTAAATTAAACTAATTTTTTGGACTGTTGGAAACTTCATCTTATGTTGTAGAAAACAGGCACTTCTCACTTTTCTGATGTTTCCTAGATCAACTGAATTATTCAACTTCTTCTCCTTTTTTTCTGAAAACTTGAAGAGTTTTACCTGACTGAGCCCTGCATAGTTACGATGAAACCATATGGGGAGTTTATTGGAGGGATTTCTCTTTCCCAGAGCTGTAATCACCTCATAGACATCTGAAACAAGTCAAGAGCCGTAAACACCAGAAACCACAGACTTAATCTCAGTGCATTTTTTAAACGGATGTAAAATCTTCATCTAAAAAAACTACATACACCTGCAGGATAAAAGTAAAAAACAAAAGATTTCTGTTTAATATAAAGTGTTGCAGCATGTATCGTTTATTTAAATGTGCCAGATCTCCAATTTTTGTGGCTCAATGGATCATGCTAATATTCCACCATCAATACAAAAGAGCTAAAGTATGCAACATTAGCATGACCCATAAAGCCATGATAGCTGCATTGAGACATATGCTAGGTGGATTTTAGTTTTGCAGAGCCAGACCTAACTTCACAGCACTGTGTCAGCACTAGAGAATGATCTAACTGTATCTCATTCTGCTACAGTGGTGTCACAATCATCGTGGGCAGTGCTAAGCCCAGGATGTAGTGATGGTGCCCCTGCAAATTAGCCTTATTGAAATGTTCTTCAAAAATATTGTTGTTGTTTCCTGTCGTCAAGGTTTTGAAAATGGCTGCACGTAGATAGCAGAAGGGCAGGAGAATGCTGGTGGAAATGCGAAATTAATACCAGAAGTCTCCATCCGTTGATTCAGACTAGGTGGAATTAAAATGGAATTACCCTTTAATTATACCACTGAAGTAAGTTACTTTGCACCGCTGGCCCTGCAACCGTGACCAGCTTCAGCCTGTGAAATGACACTTAAAACTGGGCCATTCCCAAATTTGCATCCCTCCACTCTCGCTTAGTTGCACCCAGGAGGAGAGCAAGCTAATCAGAAAGTCCTCCTTCGCACAAGGTTGATCATAGATTGGTAATGAAACAGATCCAACATACACACACACACACCCTTTACATTATACGTATGGCCACTTTCCGTTTAATTCACATAATTAATCAATTAGTGATCTCCAGCACGCCTTGTCTGGAGGGGGTGCAAGCTGCTGATCGGGCCTCGCAAAGCAGGCTTTAATCCATTTAGGTTCACATGCACTGAGAAGATGAGACGCGTCACACTGCAGTGCAAACACAGTTAATGATAGCGATCTGATTACACCTTCCGAGACACTGCAGACCTTTGGATTTCGCTCTGTGCTAATAGAGCTAAGGTAATGGGTGGGCAAGGAAATGAATGGCTGCCTAAGTGAATGGATGTGTAATTAAAGAATGGGCGATACAGTCAATGTAATTAGCTTGTTTATGTGCGGTACAATGGATATGGGCAGGCGTTAAGGCCCTGCGCCTGCAGTGTGGCAGACAAACGGAGAGAGGAGGAGATAGAAGATGGAGAGAAGGAGGAGAGAGAGAGAGGTGGAATGGGAATGAGAGAGAGAGAGAGAGAGAGCAAACTCCTTATTCAGGCCTTTTCTGCTCACCCGTCACATCAAGGCTCCAAATCAATCCTGCAAATTGGTTTGTTCCTCGACAAGGTTACCAAATGACGGAGGGATGGAGGGAATGAAGTGGAGAAGGAGAGGCAGAATATGAGATAGAGAAGGAATATGTGAGGAGCTGTAACAAGAGAGGGAGACGGGGAGGGTAGAGGGATGTCCCGCTGTTGACGTATTGTCTAATGCGGAGCTATGCGCGTCTGTGCATGTGTGTGAGCTGAAGGCCAACGGCGGGGTCATTAAACTATGGAGGGAGGTGAAGGATCCGGCTGGTTGTTATTTGTTACAGGTAAACCGAACCGGCTGAGTTATGGCACCGCCGCTCGCAAAAACCCTCACTTTGTCCATGTGGCAAACCGCCGTGTGCACATGTTGAACTGAGTTTGTCCAAGTGTGTGTGTGTGTGTGTGTGCGCTTTGTTGATGCGACCGCAGATGCTCCTGTAACCCTGTCACAATGAAATGTGGGGCCCATTTCCTCCCATTCCCAGCTGAGCCAGTGGAATTGAAGAGTAAATATATAAATAATAGACGAGATAAAAAATGGCGCTCGCTCCAAATGTGTTATTCTTCTCCTCTGACCTAATGTGTTTGTGTGTGTCTCTTGCAGGAACACTTCACACCTGAGTGCAAGTTTAAGGAGTGCGTATTCGAGAACTACTACGTCACCTACTCGTCCATCCTGTACAGACAGACCCAGTCGGGGCGGGCCTGGTACATCGGCATCAATCGGGACGGACAAGTCATGAAGGGGAACCGTGTCAAGAAGACCAAGGGAGCTGCTCACTTCCTGCCCAAACTTATTGAAGGTAGGAATTTATTGCCAACTTGCTGCTCCAAGACTTTGCGGGACTAGTTTCTCATCTTTGGTACTCATTTTTATGAACAATCATGGTCGCTTTGCACTAAAATTTCTTCCAAACATTCTGTAAATGTGAAACACATCACTCTATGTGGCATCAAATAATGTTGGTCAACAACAACCAAGCTGGCATCAGGTTTTTTGGAACAATTTTTACATAGAAGCATTTTTTTTCTCCATTTAAAAGAAAAGGGAAAAAATTGACTTTGACTTGTGATTGCTATATCAAGGCACATTCACTACCTGTGGACAAATAACCCAACATTCCTTAACACAGAAACAGATACAACACGTGTCATCGCAGCTTTGATTGAAAAAAGAAAAGAAAAAAAAGAGTGGGCTAATAAAAAAATAAACTACCCCATTTAAATTTGGCCATGTCTGATGTCTAAACCCATCTGCAATGCATGCTGAATCTCTGAAAAAAAGTCACCCTTCAACTTCAATTTCATTTTGAGGAAAAGGAAGAAGTCACAGGGAGCCAAATCTGATAAGTGATGCACCAAATGTCTTCCCTCAGTCACCTTAAAGGTGTTACAGTCAGACTCTTGAAAGCTTGACCCTGAGGGAATAATGTCCCAGAGCACAAGCAGAAGAAAACAATGGCTCCTTGTGTACCTGACACATCTCACTGTGAGATATTCCACTGTGAAAACTGCCTTTTTTTTTCTCTCACATGAACATTGGCTGAATGAGTGAATGCAGCCTATTTACTATTATAAACACGAGATTTTTTTTAAGAAGGATGCTTCAAAGTAAAAATATATGTGAGTCATTTTTTTTACTTAAAGATGTGTTTTAGCCACTAGGGTACAACAAAGTCACCTGTAAACACATCGCTGAACATTTTGAGTTCTATATGTCGAGCAAAGCAGTCGCCAGTTTTCCATCCAGCAGATACTTAGCAGCTTTAGCATCTGAAGTTGTGATTCTGCAAACCTGACGAAGGCAAGTAAAATATTCCCTCTCCTATGGATATATATTTTGTCGGTCAGTCTTCTACATTCCCCTGCTTGTAGCTAACTTTTGGTGGGTGGTGTTTGATTCCATTTAGGTTGGTTTTGCAGAGCTTGTCTGCCCGCTGCATGCTCTAAAACCTAAACAATTGGCCAAAAGGTGGGAAAATGCTCCATAGAGCTGAAAATAATGATGTATTTGTGAACAAATTAGCCCTCTTATGGTATACATCTTCATTTAATTCATTTTTTATATGAAGATTTTCATCAGTGCAGCTTTGAAATGAACGTTTGTAGCTAAGAGACTCCTCGTTTTGTTAACCGATGTTTCCCAATTTAAGCTTAAAATCTGTCTTTGTGGGTGATAAACAAAGGGGAGGGATCTCCAAAGAATAAGCTAAAGAAGCATCAGATGAAGTCCTGTCCTTGCCCCCCTATCATCTAACTCTCTCTTTGCCTTCCCCAGTGGCCATGTACAGGGAGCCCTCTCTACACGACGTCGCTGAGCAGAGTCCACCCAGAAAAACGCCCAAGACCTCCAGTGACTCGCCCGTGCTGCAGAACGGCAAGAAAGACCCTCAATCCAAAACCAAAACCTCCTCCTCCTAGCGCTCAGAGACACGGGGGTGGGAGGGAGAGAGGAAGGATGGATGACACGGGGCACCGACGGACACCTGAACAAGGTTGTTAGGGCTCCCCGCCACCTGCTGCCTGTTAACACTGACCCCCCACAATGCACTGGTGTAAAGTCGGGAGCGAAAGGGTCCAGGCAGAGTGGGAGCTAGCCAACGGGACGCCCCCCCCTTTTACCTTCACAGACCCTCCCCACCCCCTCACCTCTCTAATCCACACCAGCCCTCCACCTTCTTACTGAATAACCTCTGTGATGAGCAGAGCCTGGGATATAAAAGCAATAACTCCATGAAGAGGTGAACAGTGGCCTAGCATTGTATAGCATGTCACCATGTTTAAAAACCAGCTGGAAGGACATCCGCCTTCCAGCCGTCATCAGCGACATCCTTCCGGTTCAACCAAATATCCGAGCAAAGTCTTCCTGGTTTCTACCACAATGGGGTGCGACGGGGGGCAAAATCCGTCCCTCTGCAGCGCACACTTTACAAATGGGTTGTGTTTTTATTTCCCCGAAGGGTTTCATGCTAATGTTAGCTCGACACGGAGCCATTCGAATGCGAGGCTGTCACGGAGACCCTTAGCTCTGCAGCCATCTGCTCAGTCCACATCTTCTGTGTGTGTCAGCAACTTTTGTGAGATGGCCTGAATACTTGTCAGCCCTATTTGTGTGCGTGTGTGTGTGTGTGTGTGTGTGTTCCCTTCTTCTTCTATTCACCTTTGGCACGATTTGATTAGTTTGTGACATGGACTCAATTTTCCACTCTGCGGCACAAGAAAACCCCTCCCGTCCTCTCCGGCTCTGTTAATGGAGTCTGGGGCTGATCAGAATCTTTCGACCCTTAAACGAGGGGCCAAGAGCTCCCTCGGCGCAACCACACACACACACTCATTTACACAATGACATTTACCAACACTCGCAAGAGGTGTGTGTGTACTGCGCGCACACACTCCGGCGGGCCCCCCTCCGATGTCCATGAGCGACGACCGCGGAAAACGATCTCACGACTTAACACACTTAACACAATGACACGCGTTAACACACACACACACACACACTTATGAATGCTGGCATACGTGCCGACACAGCGGCGAGTGTGTGTGTATGCCGGTTCTGGGAGATGATGAGGATATTATCAGTGAGATGGGGTAGTGATGGAGCCTGACTGTGTAGCTTGTGATTGCAGTGCGATGGCTTTTTTTTCACTGCGGCTGGTCATGCATTGCACAAAACCCTCAAGGCCCTCACAGTATGTGCAGACCCTCTTTCCCACTGTGGTGTTCTTGGCTTCAAAATATAGACGTGAAATATGCTTTTGTTTAGTTGATGCATCCAAAATGTCCTGCCATCTTATAGTGACTTTTTTTTTAACTGCCTCTGCAGATTACTCGCTGCCCCGTCACTGTCTGCAAGCCAGAAATACTCCTCATGCTGTATTCCTATCATAGAATATGCTTTTGGATTACAGTGTTCAAACATTTTAAAGTCATATAAAACAGCTGTCTAGTGACCTGACCTGATTTAACCTGCCAAATGTGAAACCAAAACTCGATCCAAGTCATACAAGCTCCATTTTCATTCATTGCTGACTGTTAAGCTAAGGCAGCACATTGGATACACCACCTAAAAAAATCATCCAAATTGACTTTAAAAATATTAGGTAAATGGTGGTGACGCATCTTTGTGAGCACCCCCGAAAGCAAACGTGAGTCCTCGGAAAAATAATGTCCTCTTGGTATAAAGGTAACCTAAAAATCTGAAACAATCGATGTTTAGTATGTGGTTAATATGTCATGTAATTGGGACTTCTATCTTATCTGACTCATGCTAAAAAATTATTCCACGCTTTCTTTTCACAATACTTGGAGTCTACATTTACCCACAATGCAATTCTAAAGGTTTCAAGTATGTTATGCTAGCAGCAGATAATGTAGCCTCTGTCTGCTAGCTTGA